CTCTGCCGGGGCGGGAAGTCTTCCCGAGTCCGCCCTTCGTTCTGGACCCGGCGGCGGGAACCTGGGGCTCCTGAACTTGGCGCTGGAGGTCCCCCCTGCCCGGGTCCGGTTTCTGGGCGCGCGCCGCCGGCAGGTGAATAGCTGCGGGTGGGCAGGCCGGCGAATGGGAAAGTCTGGCCGGGGGTCTGTCACAGCCCAGCTAACGCAGCACATCGCCTGTGTCACTGGACACCTGTCCCCTCTGTACCCCCTCCCCCGGCGCCCCCAGGCTGCTCCCGCGAGCGGAGCCATTGAGACTGCATGGAGATCCTGCAGAGGAAACTTCGTCTAGGTGACCAGGGATCAGGATCCACCGGCTCCTGATGACCGATCATTTTCCCTAAAGCAATGGCATGGACCAAAATGAGAAATTCTGTTGCTGATTGCAAAGTGAAAAGGAGGCAGGCAACAGACTGAGGGCTGCCGAGCAAAAGATGGACCCCTGTGAAGACCTGGAAACGTCCAGCGGTAAATCTCTGGACTCCAGGGGGACCGAACCTCAGGAATTTGAAGGACCACAGGCCTGCCGCTCTGAGGCCCTGGGGAGAGGAAACGAGGAGATGTGGAGCCCACACGTGGAGAACAGCAACAGGTGACAGGACCTGATTTGTTTGTTGTTCTTTGAAGGCTAGTACAGGGAAAGGGGGGCTTAAATCGTTTTATTCTTTTATTTGTAAGCCTAAGAAAAAGTTTAGGGGGATACTCAGACAACTTGGAATGAAAAGCTGTGGGAAACTGAAGAATTACCAAGAAGTACCGGAAGGACGGAGAGAGTGGTTAAGGGTTTAGCTGAGCAGGGGGCTGCAGTGGGAACGAGAAAGAACGGAAGATGTTTGATGTTTACCAGTTTCTTTGGCCAGGATCCCCCCAAAGAGGAAAATAAACCTGTGAGCTAAATGAGTTGATCCATGGGAAACACTTAGAAAGTTGCTTGGCACGTTATATGCTGTTCAGTAAACGTTGGCTGTTCTTATAGTTGAACCTGTGAATTGATGGGGTTTTTGTTGTTGTTTTCTTACAGTGAACAGCAAGATCGAAACAGAGTTTCTGAAGAACTTATAATGGTTGTGCAAGAAATGAAAAAATACTTGCCATCGGGGAGACACAGTAAGCCGAGCACCGTCGAGGCCCTCAACTATGCACTTCGCTGCGTGCACAGCGTACAAGGTAAATGAGCTAGAGAAAAACTACAGTCGTGCGAGTACGTCATTTTGCTCATAAACATCGGCCAAGCCGCAAGAGTTATCAGTGTGGTTCTGGTCCCTGAAATGTTTTGACCTTTTTATGGTGCTTGATGTGAGATGAGCAGATCCACATGGATTCTATTCGTGTCTTGGTTTTGCAAATTAGGAACATCAGGAAAACCTTGTTTGTGTCATAGTTTAGGAACTGTTGTTTAGTGACTGCCACATTTTGATGATTTGCTGTAGGAGGTAGAGTTTAGCACATTTTAAAGACTGACTTTTTATTTTTTTTTTAAGATTTTTTTTTTAAATTTATTTGACAGAGAGAGACACAACAAGAGAGGGAACACAAGCAGGGGGAGTGGGAGAGGGAGAAGCAGGCTTCCCGTGAAGCAGGGAGCCCGATATGGGGCTCGATCCCAGGACCCTGGGATCATGACCTGAGCCAAAGGCAGATGCTTAACAACTGAGCCACCCAGGCGCCCCAAAGACTGACTTTTTAAAAGATCATTGTCTTCCAAGGGTATTGGGGAAAAAATACATTTGGCTAAATACAGCTCACCTTTCTCTGTCATCCACATACTGTTACAGTGCATTCATGATATATCAGGAATTTGCCAAATTAAAAATGAACAGTTGCAAACACCTTTTCCTTTTTATCTCTGACCTTTCTTTTCCGGGGATTTAATAAAGTACACATTTTCTTCAGTACAAACTTCTGTGAAGTCGCATACGACACACAGTGCCTGAATACGAAAGTAATGTTTCTGCCATAAACACATCACATGCATGTATTTGGAATTTTAGGTTTTCGTGCCTTGTATGGATCTTGCTCCTCGTGACACAGAACATCAGAAAATCCTAGAATCCAAAGGCTTATGTCTGTACAACTGTCAGTGTTTTAGGTGAAAGAAAATGATCTGGTTTTAAGGCAGACACGCCGAGGTGTCCTCATCCTAAAAAATAAGCCAGCTTCAAGGGTGGTAAAAGTGATTTCCTTATGCTCTCGTGGTCACTGGACTACCTGTTTATTTTCCTGTGTTTCTTAGCAAACAGTGGGTTTTTCCAGACTCTCAGTCAGAGTGGAGCGCCTCAAGCAGCTGCGACCGCATACAATCTTGAGGAGCTGGCCACGGCTGCCTCGGGGTACACTTCCAAAAACACAGTAAGAATCCACACATTTTGCCATATCAACCTGGGTGACTTTTCCTAACAACCTTGTCTAGACGTAGATGTTGAAACCTAACATGCTGGAGTTTCATTAACCGTGATGCGAGGCAAACAGTGGAGGCGCGCTGCTGAGGAGGCATCGTGTAGTTTCTCCTGCCCTTGCGGGAGCACAGATGTAAACCCAGGTGGCGGCCCTGGGGCGGTGGTCTGCTGGGCTCCCCTCCCGAGCCGCCCCTGCCTCCTGAGCATCCCTGTGTTCTCTCGAAGTCAGAGAGAAAAACAAATAACAAACTGCAGAGTAACCGCCCTCATTTTATTTTGATCTCAGAATCGTTAATTTGTATTTATATCATTCTTAGTTCCAATACCTACTCCTTCAAGTTGTAACAACTGGATTTTATAGAACCAGGTGAGTTGAGATGCTGTCATTTTTCTGTCAAATTTGGGAAGAGACATGTAGTGGATCTTTTTTGAATCTCTTCATGTTGGCAGAATCATTCAGCCTTATGCCTTACTGATGTGATGGAGATTACTTAGTTTTATGTTTAGACCCCATACATAAAGATCTGGTAATATCGGAACAGGAGCTCTCCCTAAGATCACAGGAGTATTTGTTTTACTGACTGGGGTGTTTATGGGACTCTGGTGGGTGTGGCGGAGATGGAAGAAACAAGGAAAGGTTTAAGAAAACATTTTCCCTTTAAGATCTTCAGGTAGAACTAGAGAGGGGAGGACATGCCAATGCTAGCAGACACAAACAGTAGCCGATTGTAAATGTTATTGATGTTTGACGGAACATATGAGAAATGATTCTTATGTAGCGAGGTTTGTCAAAGACCGTGTCTTGAAAGAAGAGACTCTTGAGCTTGGTCTTGAAGCCTAGAGTTCGCATTGGTCAAGAGAAGACAGTCCCCTCAGTTTGCAAACGAGAAGGAATCAGAAATGGATGCGCCGTGTGCACGTTTAGTCGATGTAGGATGAGCTGGTATATTGTTTGGTATAGAAATCAGACCTTCAGAGGGGAAGAATGAAGCGGGGGAAATCCGAGGGGTAGACGAACCATGAGAGACGATGGACTCTGAAAAACAAACTGAGGGTTCTAGAGGGGAGGGGGGTGGGAGGATGGGTT